CATTGAATGCGGGGCTGAAGCATTGCATAACGCACACACAGACACACAGACACGGAACACAAACAACAAAGATCCCCCGTGTAGCCTGTAACAGACTGTAGGGGCAAGTGCTGTTAGCGAGCACCTATGAAGGCCGGCACGGCACACGAAGGGGGTGGGTGGCCCAGCACCACGCCCGGCCGCCTTTGTCTTCCCAGTGGCGATGATTTTTATACACCGCACCAGGTACTCATTTGAGGCTGAGTCGACCTAGGGGAGGCCCGGGACCGGTTCAGAAAATCGTCACCGGTGTTGGCCGTGAGCGGGAATCGGACTCGGGTCGCCGGGTTCGTAGCGCAGCGTAGCGCTAACCGCGACACTCCCGCTCCCCGACACAAATAACACACAGAGGCACACACACAACACTGAACACAGAGAGAAAACAAAATACAACAGACGATGACCTTATGGGATCTCTCTTGTTAATCTCCCCATGAATGAGGAGGTCCATTGACCGCAACATCCCTCTTTTTGTGCAAGGAAGTTCCGCATATCCTATTGTGTTGAGATGCCGTCTCTTCTGTCATTAAAAAGTTTTTTGGTTTGGACATGTTTGTTTTGTTGTAGTACGCAGTTAGACTGATGGCCTTAATCTAAGTTTTTGTGGTTGTTGTTGTCATATTCTCAGCTCTTTCGGTTTTATATATTTTATTATTTTATTGTTTCCCTTCAACGTGACTTTACCGAAAGAGCTAAGAATATGAATTACTGCAGTCACGAAAGCTTTAAATCAAACGTTGTTGTTGTTGTCGTTTGACTTGCATCCCACTGGGATTTTTTTGCACGCAGCGTTGTTGGTGTACACGGTGCTTTTTTCAGGAATATTTTTGCTGTTTTTTTTCCCCATGGATTTTCTGTTTGCACAGTCACACACAGTCACTATAAGATGTTTTTCTTGTTGGTGTTTTTTGTTTGTTTGTTATGATTGCACCCTATTCAAGAGCCGAATGGCTCACAGGGGGATACCAAAATAAACTGAACCGAAACTGATTCGCGCATTGCCGCGATGCAGGGGGTCGCTCAATCGATTCGAGATGCCACAGGGTGCGGATTCGATGTTGTGGAGGACGCAAGCGGTCTCTGGTGGCTGGCCACGTGAACCCTTTGCACGCCACGTGGACGATTCGCTGTTTTAAACCCCGCAGCAGCAGCAGCAGCAGCCTTTCACGACCAATCTTATTCACAAGACGTGGGGAGGGGAAAGGGGGGGTGGGAGGTTGGATCGTGTCGGGTGGTGGTAGGCTTAACGGCACACACACTTATACATGTACGCGAGCTAACCCAAAAACCTCTGTAATGGATTCGGTGTTTGCGTGACGCAATCGTGACCACGTTCACAAAATCCACGGTCTCGAACCAAAAGGTCGCAGAGTTTGACAGAAAAATATATATTTTTTAGCGTAATAAATATTTTAGAAACTCAACATTTTTCAACAGCAACTGTGGCCTCAAAAGAAAAATTGTATATTGTACATTTATAACAGGCGACGTTTCGGGCAAGGACCCTATACTACGTAACGCATTCATAGATAGGCCACTCCAGATTCAAGTTCAATTGCCCCCCCCCCCCCCCCCCCCACTAAAGGATGCTCCCACCTACTACATTCCATTTTCGTACGGTGCTAAAGACGTTCAACGCGTACACACCAACAAAGACAAAGGTCCCCCGTATAGCCTTACTATACTGTTGGGGCAAGTGCTGGTAGCGAGCACCTATGAAGGCCGGCACGGCACACGAGGGGGTGGGTGGCCAGCACCACGCCCGGCCGCCTTTGTCTCGCCAGTGACGACGTTAACACACCGCCACCAGGTACACATTTGAGGCTGAGTGTACCCACACACGCACACGTACAGCGCGAGCCGATGTGGCTCAAGGTGAAGAGAGCGAACGTGAATGGGTGTCTGTCGTTCCCTGTGGGGCGAGGCGTGGGTCGGAGAGAGCGGCGGCGGTGGTGGTGGTGGTGGTGATGGTTGGTGTTGGTGGTGGTGATGGTGGTGTTGGTGGTGATGGTGTTGGTGGTGTTGGTGGTGTTAGTGGTGGTGTTGGTGGTGGTGTTGGTGGTGGTGTACAATCTGACACGTGCGCGGAGGCGCGGAGACGCGGAGAAGCAGAGAGAAAATGAGAGAGAGAGAATGGGAGATAGGGAATAAGAGAGATTTGTAATGAGAGAGAGAGAATGAGAGAGAGAGAATGGGAGATAGGGAATAAGAGAGATTTGTAATGAGAGAGAGAGAGAATGAGAGAGAGAGAGAATGAGAGATAGGGAATAAGAGAGATTTGTAATGAGAGAGAGAGAGAATGAGAGAGAGAGAGAATGAGAGAGAGAGAGAGAATGGGAGATAGGGAATACGAGAGATTGGTAATGAGAGAGAGAGAGAATGAGAGAGAGAGAGAGAATGAGAGAGAGAGAGAATTGGAGATAGGGAATAAGAGAGAGAGAGGTAATGAGAGAGAGAGAGAGAAAATGAGAGAGAGAGAATGGGAGATAGGGAATAAGAGAGATGTGTAATGAGAGAGAGAATGAGAGAGAGAGAGAATGGGAGAGAGAATGGGAGATAGGGAATAAGAGAGATGTGTAATGAGAGAGAGAATGAGAGAGAGAGAATGGGAGATAGGGAATAAGAGAGATGTGTAATGAGAGAGAGAGAATGAGAGAGAGAGAGAATGGGAGATAGGGAATAAGAGAGATTTGTAATGAGAGAGAGAGAGAGAATGAGAGAGAGAGAATGAGAGATAGGGAATAAGAGAGATTTGTAATGAGAGAGAGAGAGAGAATGAGAGAGAGAGAGAATGAGAGAGAGAGAGAATTGGAGATAGGGAATAAGAGAGAGAGAGAGGTAATGAGAGAGAGAGAGAGGTAATGAGAGAGAGAGAGAGAATGAGAGAGAGAGAGAGAGAATGGGAGATAGGGAATAAGAGAGATGTGTAATGAGAGAGAGAGAGAATGAGAGAGAGAGAGAATGAGAGAGAGAGAGAATGAGCGGCGTGCTGGGAATGTCATGCGGGGAAGAGGAGGAAACGCGTCGACGATGCATGTCAGTGTGCGCTGAACTTCTTTCGCACCGTACGTAGCCGGCCGTGCGAATAAGGAGGTGCAGCGGAAGGACAAACGAATCGCAACAAGCAGTTCTCAATCTCGGTTTGAAAGTGCAGCGATCCAGAGGCTTCTCGTGGAGAGCCAGGAAGCATCATGGCTCTCGTCCCTCGACGCCCACGGGGAGGGAGCGTCGATTCTCACTCGCAGCCAACACTGGCGATGGACATCTGAACTGGGCCTAGGGCTGGGCCTCCCCTAGGTCGACTCAGCCTCAGATGAGTAGCCGATGCTCGTTTGAGGCTGCTGATTGTCGATGGCAACGACGACGATTTCACATTCAGTCCCCGTCAGGGCAGACGATAGGAGAGCAGTATCGGAGTGGTAGCGCTGTGATGATGTCTCCTCCTCCTCCTCCGTTTGTGTGGATCGGGCCATTGCGTCGTTACACGTTGTACTCACGGTGTGTTCTGGATGACCATAGTCGCACCACCACCACCACTGCTGCTGCTGCTGCCAGAGAGTGTTGCGGTTTTACATTTGTGCATCATCAGCCACCGCATCTGCTGCCACGGTTTGTGCAGCGAATGGAGGTGCGGGGCAAGGACGAGGAAATAAACACGCAGGATAAAAAAAACAGAGAGTGATCTCAAGAAACGAGTTTCCAATCGAGATCCAGGGAACACACGCAGGGGGTTGGAGACATCACGGCGACTGCTGCTTAAAGCGAGTCGGCGTGATGGATGATGATGATAGGTGATGATAGGTCATGATGATGATGATGGGTGATGATGATGGACGATGATGGGTGATGGTGGGTGATGATGGGTGATGATGATGAAGATGGGTGATGATGGGCGATGATAATGGGTGATGATGATGAGCGATGATGGGTGATGATGATGGGTGATGATGGTGGGTGATGATGATGGGTGATGATGATGATGGGTGATGATGATGATGGGTGATGATGATGATGATGGGTGTAGTGATGATGATGATGAGTGATGGATGATGATGAGTGATCATGATGGGTGATCATGATGGGTGATTATGATTATGGGTGTAGTGATGATGATGATGATGAGTGATGGATGATGATGAGTGATCATGATGGGTGATCATGATGGGTGATATTGATGATTATGGGTGTAGTGATGATGATGATGAGTGATGGATGATGAGTGATCATGATGGGTGATCATGATGGGTGATAATGGTTATGGGTGTAGTGATGATGATGAGTGATGGATGATGATGAGTGATAATGATGGGTGATCATGATGGGTGATGATGATTATGGGTGGAGTGATGATGATGATGAGTGATGTATGATGATGAGTGATCATGATGGGTAATCATGATGGGTGATGATGATTATGGGTGGAGTGATGATGATGATGGCCGAGACTAACGACGGAGTGGCACCCAAAGGAAGAGAGAACGGCACCGAGAATTCGTCCACCGCGGAGATGAAGCCGCTGATGGATTGGTGCACCGCGAGACCTTGAAGAGATGGTGACAGCTGGGGGCAGGGGCAGAGGCCTTCATCCAGCAGTGGATAGACCACGGCTACTTATCGATGATGATGATGATGATGATGATGAGATGAATCGAAAAGCCATTATTATGTTGAACTATTTTTAATTTATCCGCCGTAAGACGCACTGGGCTACAGAGGTCGTTAATTTATTCTTCCCAGACTCCACCTGGCTATCACAAATGATCGCTCCACGAGGTGGGATTATTTGTCATCGCGTGGAAATTAACCGCAGCCAAAATAATCGAAACGCGCGCTGCGTTACGTCGCTGATACCTGGGGCAATGAATGGGACGGGGGGGGACGGGGGGGGTGGGGGGGGTGGGGGGTGTGGGGGGGATGGGGGGGGGGCATTCGGTGGGCGTGGCTTGGGGCTCAACTATAAAGCCCTGGGAGAGAGACAGAGACACAGTCCGAAATAGGTTAGCAGACCGGAACACACAAAATTAATATATATCATAGATAGACACGTGTGTGTGTATAAAACCGCTGATAGAAAATTCGCCAGACATCGGAACAGACAGCCAATTTTACAGAGAGACAGGCAGATATTTAACCAGACATATCAACGGGACGACAGACAGACATTGAAACAGACACGCTTCTGAACGTAAACATTCAACAGAGTAGACGACGCACAGAGCGAGCGAGAGAGACAGCAGAGATCACGAAAGTCTGTCGACTCCCCAATCTGCGAGCGCCTATTTCTCACGATGGAGGCCATGAAGACCAAGGGGCGAACCCAGGGGCGCAACTCCACGGAGCTGATGATGACCGTGAGTCGTCCTTCCTCCTGCTCCTCCACCACCTCGATCTCGTCCACCACCTCGATCTCGTCCACCACCACTTCCTCCTTTCATTACCCACTCCTCTTCCATAGGGGTATCACGGTGGCGATATGTTAACTTCCTCGCCTGGTATGCAGGAGGTCGCGGGTTCGATCCCGACCCTGACGCTTGCTGCTGTATATTTGGAGTTTGCGGTGTCTCTCTCTCTCTCTCCCCGTGGTCGCGTGGATTTTTTTTCCGGATCCTCCGGTTTTTATCGCCGCGCTTAGAATCGACACGAGTGTTGGTTTCAATGTCCACACGACAAACCACTTCGTTAAGCGATCATTTGTGGCCCGGTCGCTTTTGAAAAAGAGCTACACCAGTTCCATACGGGCAAGTGGACGCATTTTTGCGGCGCCTCCATCATCTCCTCCACGTGGCTGCTCACGCTCAGACACTGCATCACCAATGTCCCGTGAGTGGGGGGAACGGGATGGTGGCACGGGGGGGATGGTGGCACGGGGGGGATGGTGGCACGGGGGGGATGGTGGCACGGGGGGGATGGTGGCACGGGGGGGATGGTGGCACGGGGGGGATGGTGGCACGGGGGGGATGGTGGCACGGGGGGGATGGTGGCACGGGGGGGATGGTGGCACGGGGGGGATGGTGGCACGGGGGGGATGGTGGCACGGGGGGGATGGTGGCACGGGGGGGGATGGTGGCACGGGGGGGATGGTGGCACGGGGGGGATGGTGGCACGGGGGGGATGGTGGCACGGGGGGGATGGTGGCACTGGGGGGATGGTGGCACTGGGGGGAGGGGGTCCAGTCGTCGGCTCGTGTTCGAGTCTGAGGGTCACTCGGAGTCTGTGGGTCTCTGTGAGAGTCTATGGTTTATGCATACGAGTCTATGGGTCCCGATGTGAGTCTATGGTCTATAGGTCTCTGTGCGAGTATATGGGTCTCTGTGATGCTATGGTCTATGGCTCTCCGTGCGAGTTTATGGCTTTACCTGGTAAAATAAGAAAAGTTTAGTAGTTTAGTTTAACTCCCAAATCACCCTCCTACGAAACCTCCACCCACTTCCACCACCTCCTCCCCCTCTACCTCCTCCGTTTCCTCCACTGACCAGCGTGGTGAAGTATGGTCAAATAACCCCCCATTACTGGCGGGGCGTCGGGAGGCCCTCACCCAGCAGTGGAATCGACAAAGGGCCTGTACATAATACCAATACGATATTAATATGCGTACAATTATCAGCACGCTGTGCTTGTGTTCATTCATGATGGGCCGGTTCTCGTCATGGAGATGAGCAACTGACGTTGTTCATCATGGCCAGGAGTCGAACCTCATTTTCTGGGATCCTGGTGCAATTCGCTCATTGTACGTGGCTCTGTCTGACGCATAAGACACGGATAAAGATCCCCCGTATAGCCTTAACAGGCTGATGGGGCAAGTGCTGTTCGCGAGCACCTATGAAGGGCCGGCACTGTGGCACACGAGGGGGTGGGTGGCCAACACCACGCACGACCGCCTTTGTCTCCCTAGTGGCGATGCTTGTACATCGCACCAAGTACTCATTTAAAGCCGAGTCGACCTAGGGGAGGCCCAGGACCGGTTCAGATAATCGCCACCGGTGTTGGCCATGAGCGGGAATCGAACTCGAGTCGCCGGGTTCGTAGCGCTAAACGCTGCACCACTGCTCCCCAACACACACACACGTACACACACACACACGTACACACACACACACGTACACACACACACGTACACACACACACGTACACACACACGTACACACACACACACGTACACACACACACACGTACACACACACACGTACACACACACACGTACACACACACACGTACACACACACACGTACACACACACACGTACACACACACACGTACACACACACACTTGCACACACACACACACACTTGCACACACACACACACACTTGCACACGCACACACACACACTTGCACACACACACACTTGCACACACACGCAGGTGGATGTGGAGACAATCACTTCCCCGTCGAAAGCACGTGGCAAGGCGGGGAACCCCTGTGCGGGAGCGTGCTCCTGGCTGTGGTCTCACCAGCTCATCGTGGCCTGCATCGTCATCCTCTGCCTGCTCTTGGTTGCGGCTGGTGTCCTCGCCGGCGTGTTCGGTGAGCCCGCGGACTTGCAAACCAGGCCCTCAACTTTTGTTAAAAAATAAAAATCCTGTAATACTGAGATGTGCAACTTGTTGTTGTTGTTAAAAAGCGACTTGGCTATCACAAATGTTATAGCTCAACCAAAGTCGGCTCATCGTCACGTGGACATTCATAGCAGTAGCCAAATACTCTAAACGCGTGTTTTAGAAAGGTGGAGGGAAAACCCGGAGGACCCGGAGAAAAATCCACGCGACCTCGAAGAGAGAGAGACAGAGAGAGAGAGACGAAAACTCCAAATATACAGCAGCAGCAGCAGCAGGCGTCAGGATCGGGATCGAACCCACGACCTTCCTGTATACCAGGCGAGGTAGTTAACATCTCGTAGCCAACCGTGGTTCGCGGTTCGAATCCAGAAGGCCGTCCCGGTTATAAGGGCGGGGGAAATGTTCGCCTGCTGCTGCTGCACATTTGGAGTTTGCGTCTCTCTCTCTCTCCGCGTGGTCGCGTGGATTTTTTTCCGTGCCCTCCGGTTTGTTTCTCTCCACGTTTTAAATCAACATCTCGCCTTGAGAATATTTGACTGCTGCTGTTAATGTCCACACGACGATACGCCACTTCGTTGAGCTTTTCATTTGCGATAGCCAGATCGCTTCTTAAAAAAAAATGAGCTACATAGCTCTCAGTGGCCCATAACCTGATAAAATAAAATTAAAAAAAGTTGAGTAACATCTGCAACAAGCGGCGAACACATGGCCGCTGGGCCGTGACACCGCCCCGACAATCATAATGTTGATATTGTGGTTGATGTTGTTAATATTGTGGTTGTTGTTGTGGTTGTTGTTGACATTGTTATTGTGGTTGTCTCTCTGCAGGTGCCCTGCGAGCCAACATGTCTGACGACAAAATTCCGAGTAAGTTCATGAAGCCGTGATCCGCTTATTCGCTCCCCTCTCCCCCTCTCCCCTCCACCTGTAAACACCAATCAGCAATCTCCCCCCTCACCTCCACCTGTAAACACCAATTCCCCCCCCCCCCCTCCTTGCGAATTGAACACGTGACTGTAATCTCATCCAATCATCGCCGATAACCGTCACTTTATCTCGATTATTTATATCGCGGGGAAAACACACCACGTGGTGCTGTTATTATTATTCCTGATTAATTCAATGGGTAGATAGAGAAGTAAATCATTTAATTGCTTCGCCACCCTGCCCTGTGAACGAGCATGCAAATAACGCGCATTGTGTTTCCGCATCCACCCGTTCGCCTTCCAGCCTTATCGCGCGCACCATTCCTTAAACTCGAGGCTGGTTTCGCCCTATTGGGTCTCATCGGCAGTCAGGTGTGCTGTAAAATACAACGCAGATTTTGGCTAGGGCACCCTCTCTCTTCGCAATAAAACGCGCACCACTTTTACGTAGTTAATAATCTTATACACTTTTACGCATAACTTTGAACACCATATCCACGCGTTATACGTGATGTCATACCATTCAACATTGATTCCGCCCGTTCCTCTGATGCTAATTGACGACATTGTCTCTCGTGATGTTCTTAGAAGGGTTAGACATTTGAAGAATGGTACAAATGACAGTCGTTTTTTTTCCTAGGTAAAAACTCAAACTCATAAGAATCAACATTCAGCACTTATAGCGGCGCTTTGCTTAAATATCTCGGAGGCTCAAAGCGCCCTCCTTAAATCGCGTCCCATCTCAGACATCTGAAGGGCACCCCCCCCCCCACACACACACCGTGGGTGCCACGGTGGCGAGATGTTAACTACCTCGCCTGGTATACAGGAGGTCGTGACTTCGATCCCGACCCTGACGCCTGCTGCTGCTGTATATTTGGAGTTAGTGCGTGTCTTGCTCTCTCTCTCCGTGTTTGTAGATTTTTTTTCTCCGGGTCCTCCGGTTTTTTCCCTCCACATTTAGAATTGACATCACACGTTCAGAGTGTCTGGCTGCTCTACATTTCCACGTGACGATGATAAGCCACTTCGTTGAGCTGTCATTTGTGACAGACAGGTCGCTTCTTAAAAAGAGCGACATAGCTCAGGGGGCCTTACCTGGAAAAAAAAAGAAACATTCAAATACCTCTCCCTGTACGGGACAATGTGACTCAGCACCTGGTATGCGAGCGAGGCATTACTCTGCTCGCAACAACAATTCACAACAATACCAATGTGTAACAATGCGCCACCACCCTACAACAACAATTCACAACAATTCACAACAATGCCAACGTGTAACAATGCGCCACCGCCCTACAACAACAATTCACAACAATACCAACGTGTAACAATGCGCCACCACCCTACAACAACAATTCACAACAATGCCAACGTGTAACAATGCGCCACCACCCTACAACAATTCACAACAATACCAACGTGTAACAATGCGCCACCGCCCTACAACAACAATTCACAACAATGCCAACGTGTAACAATGCGCCACCACCCTACAACAATTCACAACAATGCCAACGTGTAACAATGCGCCACCACCCTACAACAACAATTCACAACAATGCCAACGTGTAACAATGCGCCACCACCCTACAACAACAATTCACAACAATACCAACGTGTAACAATGCGCCACCACCCTACAACAACAATTCACAACAATACCAACGTGTAACAATGCGCCACCGCCCTACAACAATTCACAACAATTCACAACAATGCCAACGTGTAACAATGCGCCACCGCCCTACAACAACAATTCACAACAATGCATCACCGCCCTACAACAATTCACAACAATGCCAACGTGTCACAATGCGCCACCACCCTACAACAACAATTCACAACAATGCGTCACCTCCCTACAACAATTCACAACAATGCCAACGTGTCACAATGCGCCACCACCCTACAACAACAATTCACAACAATGTGTCACCGCCCTACAACAACAATTCACAACAATGCCAACGTGTAACAACGCGCCACCACCCTACAACAATTCACAACAATGCCAACGTGTAACAATGCGCCACCACCCTACAACAACAATTCACAACAATGCCAACGTGTCACAATGCGCCACCACCCTACAACAACAATTCACAACAATGCGCCACCGCCCTACAACAACAATTCACAACAATGCCAACGTGTCACAATGCGCCACCACCGTGTACGGTATCCGCTCGCTCTCGGAGAGACAGGACAGACTTCAGAGGCGCCGTGAGGACGAGCCGCAGACGAGCAATGACCCCCGGGCCGCCAACAACGATTTCCCAAGCTCTGCGGTCCTCTCCAAATCTCGCGGCGGTGTCATCGTCCCGATCGAAGGTCGCAGTGGGGCTCATCTGCCGCGTGATTCTCTCGCTCTCCTCGCAGGCGCCTCCGGCGGCTTTGAGGGCTGCGGCTGGCGCCCCGAAGCGGGCACGCGCATCGTGAACGGAGAGAAGAGTACGCTCGCGTGGCCCTGGCAGGTGAGCCTGCAGAACAAGTTCCATACGGGCAAGTGGACGCATTTCTGCGGCGCCTCCATCATCTCCTCCACGTGGCTGCTCACGGCCAGACACTGCATCACCAATGTCCCGTGAGTGGGGGGAGCGGGATGGTGGCACGGGGGTGGGGGTGCAGTTGTCGGCTCGTGTTCGAGTCTGAGGGTCACTCGGAGTCTGTGGGTCTCTGTGAGAGTCTATGGTTTATGCATACGAGTCTATGGGTCTCTGTGAGTCTATGGGTCTGTGGGTCTCTGTGAGAGTCTATGGTTTATGCATATGAGTATATGGGTCTCTGTGTGTCTATGGGTCTGTGGGTCTCTGTGAGAGTCTATGGTTTATGCATATGAGTCTATGGGTCTCTGTGAGACTATGGGTCTGTGGGTCTCTGTGAGAGTCTATGGTCTATGCATACGAGTCTATGGGTCTCTGTGAGTCTATGGGTCTGTGGGTCTCTGTGAGAGTCTATGGTTTATGCATACGAGTCTATGGGTCCCTATGTGAGTCTATGGGTCTGTGGGTCTCTGTGAGAGTCTATGGTTTATGCATACGAGTGTATGGGTCTCTGTGAGTCTATGGGTCTGTGGGTCACTATGTGAGTCTATGGTCTATGGCTCTCTGTGCGAGTTTATGGATCTCTGTGTTAAACCCGCACCCTCTGCACCCCCCCCCCCCCCCCACACGCGCGCAGGAACCTCACGGGTGACATCATCGCGGTGATGGGCACCAACTCGCTGAACGACACCAGCTTGGCAGTCCAGAGGGTGGCCATCGCTGAGACGGTGCTGCACCCGGACGGCGAATCGAGCGACGTGGCGCTGCTGCGGCTGGCCTGGAGCGTCGCCTTCTCGGCCACGGTGGGGCCCGTCTGCCTCCCCGTGAACGCGACAACAGCGAAGCCCGACACGCCGTGCTTCGTCACCGGCTGGGGAGTCGTCACGACCAACGGTGAGAGCTCACGGGCCGACGGCCAGGACGTCTCCAGGTCGCTCTACTAGGCAATCCACCCCTCCCCCAACCCCAAAGACAAAGATGCCCCGTATAGCCTTAGCAGACTGTTGGGGCAAGTTCTGTTAGCGAGTAGCACCTATGAAGGCTGGTGCCATCATCATCACCATCATCATCATCACCATCATCACCACCATTGTCATCATCACCACCACCACCACCGTCATCAACATCACCACGCCCGGCGACCTGTGTGATATTTACACACCGCGCCAGGTACTCATTTGAGGCTGAATCGACCTCTGGGAGGCCCGGGAATTGCTTCAGATAATTGTCAATGTTGTTGGCCGTGAGTGGGAATGGGAATCGAACTCGGGTCGCTGGATTTAGGGAGCCACGGTGGCTATGAGATGTTAACTACCTCGCCAAGTATACAGGACGTCGTGGGTTTGATCCCGACCCTGACGCCTGCTGCTGTATATTTGGAGTTTGTGTGGTGGCGTGGGTTTTTCTCCGAGTCCTCCGGTTTTTCCCTCCACATTTAGAATCAACATCGCGCATTCCGATTATTTAGCTACTGCTATGTCCCCGTGATAAGCCACTTCGTTGAGCTATCATTTGTGATAGCAAGGTCGCTCCTGAAGAAGAGCTTCATAGCTCAATGGGCCTTACGTGGTAAAATATAAAATTTAATTGATAGTTTTTAGTGCAGTGGGCTTACCGCATAACTACAGTGATGACTTTAACTGATGAGTTTAAGTCGCTTACCGCGTAACTATACCATGACAGTGGCGATGATGATAACAGCGACGATGATGATAACAGCGACGATGATGATAACAGCGACGATGATGATAACAGCGACGATGATGATAACAGCGACGATGATGATAACAGCGACGATGATGATAACAGCGACGATGATGATAACAGCGACGATGATGATAACAGCGATAATGATGATGATCTAAGACTCGCATTGTCTCTTGCACTCTCCTATCTCCAGACAAAACCAAACAAGTGGATCTCCGTGAAGTGAAGTTGACCATCATGAACGACAGTAGTTGCGAACCGACGAACAGCGGCCGCCCGCTCCAGCGGAGCATGATGTGTGCTGCGGACGTGAACACCCACGCCGACACCTGCCAGGTGAGTGCCGCGAATCCATGGCAGGAAACCTCACCTGGAATCAGCTCGAGTCTCCGGTGAATCACGTGACAGCTGTGCTCACCCCCCCCCCACCCCCCCCCCACCCCCCCCACCGCGGCTCTGAATCCCTCCTGCTCTCATATTTTTAAATCTCTAAACCAGATCCAGCCTCCCGTAAAATCACGTGACTTCCACGTAGCCCCCCCCCACCCCCGCATCGCCCCCGAATTTCTCCTCCCCTCGCGTCCACCTCCGAGTGTCCTCAAGCCCCCTCCGCCCTGCGCCACGCGACTTCTGCGCTTGACCACTCTCCGCCACCCGCTTGCGCTCCGCGTTGCAGGGCGACTCGGGGGGCCCGCTGGTGCGCCTGGCGGGGGAGACGGAGCCGGCGCCCGGTCGCTGGGTGCTCGAGGGCATCACGAGCTTCGGCAGAGGGTGCGGCAGCAGGGTCTTCCTCGGCGTGTACGCACGCGTGGCAGCCTTCACCCAGTGGATCTCCCGCACCACCGCAACCAAAACCACCGCCGCAACCGAAACCACCGCCGCCGCCGCAACAACAACAACCGGCAAGTCGGCTCGCTGAAGGGTCTCCCCGAGTCTCGTCGTTTGACCGCTCGAGTCTCGACTTCCCAGGGCGCGCCCTGGCTTCGTAAGTCACGACACGTGCCGCTCGCTCGCAGCACTTGCCCCCGAACTTGTCTTGAGGCTATACCGGGGTCGCGGGGGGACTTTTTCCCTTTGGGTGGCGATGGTGGTGGCGACGACGTCACGGACAGCGCGAGGACGTCCCCCGCCAGGTCAACGGACGGCGTCTAAACGCGTTTGCCGCGCTGCCTGCCGATGTGAAGACCTTGGGCTCGGCGTCAACGGCGTCGCGTGGTCGGCATCGTCCTTCCACGTGTCTGTGTGTGCGTGTGTGCGTGCACAAGTGCGTGCGTGTGCGTGCGTGTGTGCGCGTTGAACTTCATCCGCACCGCACGTGGTAAACCGCGCTCATCGGGCGTTTCGGGGGAAGGACGGCGACGGCAAATCCTCCGCTTGGCCGGTGATCGCGGGCGTCACGAAGTACATCCAGGCGGGTCGGAGACTCTCAATAAAATACTTCTCAACCCGGCATACCACCTCCAGTATTGCTCATCCCGCTACCGCCCACGGCTGCGCAAGTCACGGGGGCTGCCATCGCTCCCTCTGACCAGGAAGCGGGAGGATATTTAGTGAGAAGAAAGGGCCCGAGTGTTGGGAGGGAGGGGTGAGGGAGGGGTGAGGGGTGAGGGAGGGGTGAGGGGTGAGGGAGGGGTGAGGGTTGTGTGTTTGTGTACCCCGCATGGTCACCCTCACGATACGAACCGTCGCCTCCCGTGTCTCTTGTTGCCTGCAGTGGGCTCACGTGACCCCTGCAGTCGCTGGTGGCCGCTATAGCCAAGGGTACCGTACTGTCGCGTTTATATATAAAAGGGAAATGTGTGAATGTGTGTCTGTTCGAAATGTTTAGCATACTTCACAAACTTGACATTTGGCATGTGGGTAGCTTCCAGATGGTACAAAATGCAAAAAGTATAAAAATAGACTTTTGTATTTTGGGAAGGGCGCCATAATGGATATATTTTGCACGGCAAGTGAGCACTGACGTCACATCTTTGATGTCACCCGCATGCGGCAGCGTCACGCTGTGCGCCTGATGACGTCATCCCCCCCCCACCCTCCGCGGAGGCCGTGTATTAATCCAAGACAAGAATCAAAGTCTCGGGCGAAGCCGGGTAGTAAAGCTCGTAGTGTATATGTTAACAATAAGAGAGGTGACCGCGTGGCTCAAGAGCCAGAGACGCTGAGCCCGCAACTTTGAGTGCCTGGGTTCGAGTCCGGGTTTCAGACACCAAGGTACGCAGCGAGGTGACGGCTCGGCATGGTCACCAGTGGCTCGCGCAGAGACCCGTAGACTCGCATAGAGTCCAATAGACAGACTCACATAGAGACCCATACTCGCATAGAGAGCCGTAGACTCGCATAGAGACCCGTAGACTAGCATAGAGTCCAATAGATAGACTCACATAGAGACCCATACTCGCATAGAGAGCCGTAGACTCGCATAGAGACCCACAGACTCACGTGGGCTGTTAGGATGAAACGTGGTTCTCAAGTGTAGTGCGATGATGGCATAGCTTTATGAATTTAAAATATTATCAGTTTGCCCGTCTTGCGACGAGCATTATACCTGTTGTTGGGCAGATCAGGTGGGGAAATGGCTGCGCGTGCGTGTCGCTGTGATATACGAGGGAGATCTGACATGTCCACTTCCGCGGTGCACTTCTCGCGCTCCCCCTGGCGATATTCCGTCCTCGCACCTCCGGGAGAGACGGAGACAAAATTCCCGTCGGGGGCGGCGGCTCCTCATTGCCCGCGTGGAGTCGCCGTGCATAGCGAGCAACGCATCGACGGTCGAGGCATCTCCCTCCTAAACGCACGAGGCCAGCCCGAGAGTAAATCTTTTTTAGATATCTAATAATAAACAGAAAACCTGCACGTCCTATGGACGTAACCGTGCATCCCTCCCTCCAGCCAAACTTATTTTAAACATAGTATATTAAAATATAGTATGACAATGTATGATTATCGTTTGTGACGGCGTTGTCTTTAGTAGCATTGTTTGTGCAATTGTCGTGATAAAATGAATAAACGGGTACAAAGATGAGTTTGCGTGGTACGTTTGAATTACGGAGTCGGGATGCTGTCGGGGGCAGTGACGTCCACTGTTGCTGCCCGCTGCGGTGTGGACCGGACTGTAACTCCGTGATATTCACTTCCGTGGGCCGTTCTGAGTGGACCAGAGGTCACTTTATGAAGGTACTTCGTAAATGGCTCTGCGATATCCACTTCCACAGGCCGTTCTCAACTACAACAAAATCATTCATTGCTGACGACGCCATTGCCAAACACACGCCACACCCCCTCGCTTTATTTTGGCACTTTTGACCTTCACATCGACCGCAGACCACCAACCGTGTGACCTCTGCCCACCACCACCGCAAACCAAATACAAAGACCCCCCCCCCGCCCCGTAAAGCCTGCAACAGACTGTTGGGCCCAGGATTGGTCCAGATAATCGTCACTGGCGTTGGCCGTGAGCGGGAATCGAACCTGGGTCGTCGGGTTCGTAGCGCGGCGTAGCGCTAACCCGCTACACCGCAACCACCACCACAACACCGCAACCACCACCGCAACCACCACCACCACAACCCAGGCAAGCTGCGGCGGCAGCGGCGGCGGCTCGATCCACAGCTCCACAGCGACACGAACGCAGTCGTACGTCAGTCCTTCGGTTGTTCTGCTCGACGGGAGCGGTAAACGTGCCGCCCGCCTCGAAAGCGGACGTCGAAGAGATCCCCGCGACGTCGCCGTCGCCGGCAGGAGCACGCCGCCGCCGCCGCCGCAATTTGGCACGCGAGAAAAAGCACAGCGGGCAGTCGGCGTCGCACCCCCGCTACTGCCGGCAGCACACCGATGCCCCCCCCCCCGCCCCCCAGCCCCCCAAGGTCACCGGTGCAGGTGAGGCCTCCCCGACTCTGGTCCCCTCCTTGGCTACCCGACCCGGTTACCGCAAACGTCGCCCGCGGCGCTCCCTGCTGGGGTGTCGTCCGCTCGGGGTGGCCGCCGACTAAAAGCAGCAGCGGCAATGGCGAAGGCTCCGTCGCCAAATGATCTACGTCGCCCACTTGGCTCGCGAAGTTTCTGACGGCAACACGAGAAACCCTTGTAAGGACGACGCACATCGGGACGAAAACCCTCGGACGCGCACCCACGTGTCGGTACCCACGTGCACACGTGTCGCGCCCACGTGCACACGTGTCGCGCCCACGTGCACACGTGCACACGTGTCGCGCCAACGTGCACACGTGTCGCGCCCACGTGCACACGTGTCGCGCCCACGTGCACACGTGCACACGTGTCGCGCCCACGTGCACACGTGTCGCGCCCACGTGCACACGTGTCGCGCCCACGTGCACACGTGTCGCGCCCACGTGCACACGTGTCGCGCCCACGTGCACACGTGTCGCGCCGACGTGCACACGTGTCGCGCCCACGTGCACACATGTCGCACGTGTCGCGCCCACGTGCACACGTGTCGCGCCCACGTGCGGTGAACTTATTTCGCGCCGTACGTAGCCGACCGTGCTAATCGGACGCGCGGAATATTGGTTCGGCAAATCGCGCGTGGAAGAGGAGCGGTGGCGCGGTGGTTGGCACAACGCGACAGGCAATCCGGCGACACCCGAGTTCGATTCCGTGGCCCCGGCTGAAATCGGCGTCGAGGTGCAACCAGGAACCGGTACTGGGCTTCTCCTAGGTCGACTCGGCCTCAAAATAAAGAGCTTTGACGAATGCCCACGGGTAA